GGTTATTCACCAAAAAGACTCTTGAAATAATTTTGTTTCCCGAGAAGATCGAGATAGAAAAAAAAAAAACATTTTCATTACAAGTTTCAGTTTTGAAATTTTAATGTGTGTAGAAAAGTGATATTTCGTTCGTTACAGGAGAAAAGTGATTAATTTGTGGCTAATTCGTTACTTTTAGATTAATTTAAAAACTGAAATTGCTTCAAGTTGATAATAAAATACAGAATCATAAATTCTCAATTTCTCATAACTGTCGTTGGTCTTTTTCAACGGAAAACAGACATGTCACGTCGTAGTAGTTACTGAGTTTTTATTGCCCATTTGCCAAGATGAAACATGGGTTGACCACGTTCGTACGATCCGGGTCGGGTCTAGAGAACCCACACAAACCCCAATTTAGTGCTCATTTTCTGCAAATTCTCTCAATAATTAATGAGTCAATTTGGAGAATAGCAATAAAAAAGAGGCAAATTAAGAAAATGGTAAGACCCATTTCGTTGTTACATAAAAAAAAATATTTTATCACCGATTATTCCGCTATTGTCCTCACGCGCTCAGCTCTGTTTTTTTCTTCTGACACATGCATTAAATGCGTTATTCTAGCAGTAAGGCATAACTGCAAACGTAATATTCACAAAGCATTAATTACATCACACCAATGTTTCTTTCATTCTCTTTCCAGCATATTTATGTAAATTTTTTATCATTTGCATTCTGCTCACACGCATATCGGTTCATACATAGAATTATTTATTTTATATTATTGATAAAAATATGTATGGTATAGTGAAAAATTATGCAGATATATAGTTAAATAGCATGTTATGTGTTTTTATAATCTGTTAAAATGTTTAATGTATCATATAAATATAAAAATGTACCGTTAACTTTTTACATAACGAGGTAATTAAATATGTACACTATAGTAATCATCTATGCGAAAATATACATGTATATATAGTTAAATAGCACGTTATGTGATTTTATAGTCTATTAAAATGTTTAATGTATCATATAAATATAAAAATGTACCGTTAACTTTTTACATAACGAGGTAATTAAATATGTACACTATAGTAACCATCTATGCGAAAATATACATGTATA